TGAGGTTAAGTCGCTGATTCACTGTTTCCTTCTCGAGTTCAAGATGTGTTCTTTCTACAACACAGTCACATGTCTCCCAACTGCTTTGACAAAGAGGTCACTGGAAATGGTCAACACCCAACACCCCACCCTCCCTGATAACCGTAGAAAGACAATATAAAGGGAAAAAAGAAATTTACATCAGGAGGTGGATTCATGATGAATTTTGTCTTAAGGTTTCCATCTGTTACAGGAGTAAGCCTTGTCTATCTTATTGGGTAGGCTAGGAATGATACTTTCCCCTATGGGAGCCACTGGCTAGTGGCTCTATTTGCTTTACATAGGTGTGTATGTTACTCTAAGCCATAGCCAGTTGAGTTAGACACCGCCGTACTTGGATGTGTTTGTTGCTGAGGTTCTAGTTATTTTCCAAGCATACCGGCAGCATGGAATGTCCGAGGCAAAAAATTCAATTTGTGCTCGGAATATCTTTAGCTTTGTCTTGGTATATCCATGTGTATGCAGCAAAGAATGGCAGTTCTTTAACCTTAACCTACCCGGGTCTTTCAAAATCTGCCTGCAGGTTTTTGAAGGATTTTGTAGGATTGTGGAAGATAGAATGCAACCTTATTAATTCACATGAGGTCTGATGTTACCTAGATGTTGATTGAGCAAAGAGGATGTGCCATTGGTCCCTAATATGAGCGAGGATTTTGGAGGATTCAGGAAAGATCTCCGAAAAAAATGAGAAGGGAGATTAACTGACTCTCTTGTCTTCCGACCCAAACAGGGAGGCACCGCTCAGACCAAGGAGTTGATTGAGCAGGCTGCCACCGTGGTGGCCCAGGAGAACGTAGAGCTGACCTGCTGCTTCATTCAGAAGTGTGCCGTGGAGAAAGCCATCCCAGAAATGGATAGACGTCTGGCAACGGTGAGTGTAGCTCAACCCCAATGCTCCCCAAACAGCCAAACTCCAATACCAGGGCCTGTTGGAATCTGTTAGGATGAGTACTGTACCAGTATGCTGACCGTGTTTAGTGTGAGATTTAGGCATACCAGAAATAAAGGGAGTGCAACCGTTCATGTGCACTGTTTGTGTGGAGATTTGCAAGGATGAGGAAGGTTCCTTGTGAATCACTCCAGGGAGTTAGGGTTAAGGTTTGAGCCAGGCAACAGTAGAGAATTGGGTGTCTAACTGTGACACTGCAAAACCGGAATGCCCATTTTGTTGAAATTTCAGTCTGTTAGGAAGTCATTTTTCTATGAGTTGGGTACATGATGAGAATATTCCTGCTGACCATGCTAGCTCTTTTTGCTAGCACTCATGATCATTTATAAGGTTTAGTTTCTGATTCCCAACTCAACTTTTGATTTCCGTTGGCTGAAGTCTTGCAAAGAGATAAGGAGTGTTGTTTGTTTTGAAGCGCGTCATTGGTGCAGATGGATGTCACGATTTAATTATAAGGGATAAATGCTGCATGCTAGATGTGGATGAAATAAGCATAAGATGATATTCCACGCATTCTACATCAATCCTTTCATCAAAATTTGACATAAAATTCTCAGGAGATTGAGCTGCGCAAGCATGCTCGCAACGAGAATCGGCGCTACTGCGATCCGGTCGTGTTGACATACCAGGCTGAGAGAATGCCAGAACAGATCCGTCTCAAGGTACGTTGTGCTTGTCATTCCATGTCATCCTAGATTCTGTCATCAAACGCACAGTTTTAAACATTTGGAAATTTGGCTTTGCCCACAGAAATGTAAAGAGTTGTAGAAATTTCAAACAGGTGTGTCAGATTGGGGTATCTTTTGGCCTGATGACAGAAAAACCAAGTACAGCTGATGAAATTGCTTGGGGATGAGTTGTGAGCATGATGAGACCATTTTCTGTTGATTACGCTGGCTTTTGCTAGTCACCATGATCATGTTTATAAAGGTTTAGTTTCTGATTCACAGCTCAGAATTGTCGACCCATTATGTAGCGATGGCAGTAAAACCGTCCAAACAGTTGAACGTTGTTGACTGATTAATTAATAGCATAGGTTGGATTGTCCCGTTATCTGCAAAATCACTGACTTTCAATTGTGTATGTTAGTTGCCTCGGAGTCACCTCGCCGTCCAGCTTCCTTCTTTTATCGCTGGCTCCCCAAACGATCTCTGAAAAACCTATCTTCAGGACGTTGACCCTCTGGTGCTCAGTAGAGATGCATTTTGTGCGGGAAAAAATCTCGAAGTGACCCAGGAGAAAATGTGGTTTTTGTTTTTTGTTTGGTCACCGTGTAGGTCGGTGGTGTGCCGGCTGGCCAAATCGCCGTCTACGAAGAATTTGCCCGCAGCATTCCTGGATTCCAGCCAACACCCGAGGCTAATCAGCCACCTGGATTCCTGGTTAAACCAGTACAGGTAAGAAAAGCCATCTTTAACTGAGGAGGACCTAGGAGTAAATTAACTTTTTGTATTTGAGACTTTTGGAATAGTTTTAATGCCTTCCTCAGATTGGCTTGCATTTTTCTGTGGTTTTCTTTGGGAGGATTTAGCCAAAACTCGTGCAACGCACAGGTGCTTTGTGGTAAAGGGATCGTGCCGAAGTTCGCAATGCAAGCAACCTTAGCAATGCTGCGAACTTGAGAGATGGAAGTGAGGGATCTCTTCTAGGATTTTAATTCTAGTTGTAAATTATTCAGTAATCAGGGATTTTAGACTTGAATACGTTGTTCCTGTTGACAAACTAGAACAAAACCTGGAGAACCTTAAAATGAGTGTTTTAGCCTCAGAAAATGCACCCAATAAATTAATTTTCTTGTTACTCTCAAGTTTGAATTCCCCCCCCTCTTCTGGAATCAACTGCAGCAATCCTACGCCACGGACGAGATCACCCAGATCTACGACAAGTGCGTCTCGGAGATCGAGCAGCACCTGCACGCCCTGATCCAGTCCTCCTCGGCCCAGAGCCAGCATGTGCAGGTGCTTCATACCCTGCTGGAGGCGGTGGTCCTGGCCAGGAACTCGCGGGAGATCGTCACAGCCCTGGCTCTCCTGCAGAAGGTACGGCTGCATCTGAATCTCTGAAGTCCAGGCCCTGTTCGAGGTCTTTACAAATGGGTCAGTCCATGAGGTTGGGGCACAGTTTGTGACGGTGTCCATCGTTATGTGGCTTCCGTAAAAATGAACAGCTATTTCCCTGCAAGTGGATTCCAAATTATACATCTTGCTAGGCTAAATACAGAGGTGTGTGTCACTTTTACAGAATAAATTGCTTACTCTACAGGTCGTGACAGGTGGTAAAAGTTACCCATGTAACAAGGAAACCGTCACAAATTGTGCCCCAACCTCATTTAATCCCCCTTGTAAAGAACACTGTTTTAACATAGAGCAAGCACCCACTCTATGGTTATAACAAACAACTGTGATAAAGAAGAGATTCTGAGAATCCTAATTTCTTGAGTTCTTGTGGGGGTTTTTTTGGGGGGGGGTTTCCGCTCCTGCTTAACAAAGTCTAGGTTATAGCAAAGTTATTTCTCTGGTCATTTTAACTTTGTTGTAACGAGAGTTGACTGTATTTGGCACTCTCTGAGAGTAGACATAGCCATAGCTGGAGTAAAACTCCTTTCGAACATGGCGATGTTCCGAAAATTGCCTTGATCTCTTGATGGGTCCTTGTGTGGACGTTTCCAACATTGTAGGATCTCTGTGTGGGCACAGAATTTATGACAGCAATGGCATTCGTGTTTCGGCCCAGTCTCTCTGTCTTTGTCAGCAGGGAGGGGGCACCAGTCTCTCGCCTAGGGCTAGAAATGACACATGAACCAGCAGAAACCATTGCTTGCTGCTGCAGCCACTGTCTCACAGACCTGTGCGTTATTGCAGGATACAGCTAAATAGGGCAGACATAGCCAATGTTTAAAAACAACAATTCATAGCGTGTGGTACCTTGTCTCTTCTTGCCAGGCTGTGGAAGGCCTTCTGGAGGGCTACACCCCACAGACAATGGAGCCGGAGCTGGCCCTGCGATACCGTGACTGTCACATACTGGTGCTGAAATCACTTCAAGACCAACGGGCCTATGGCCCTCAGTGGACCAATAAGCAGGTTACTAGGTGAGTTGATGTAGGAGGAACTTGGTGCAATCAAATAGGGAGAAAAGACAAGATTAGAAGACATCAGTTTAAGGTTGGTGAGGACAACCGCTCAGAATTTTCTATGAGGGGTACCTCAAAATCAAAATAATGGCCTTGGCAGGATTGGAAGTAGGCTCAATGGACTTAGAAAGCAAAGAACAGAATCGTATTGACCAATTCACCCTGCCATTTGAAGAATTCATTCTTGGTTTATTTGACCTTTGACCCTTTACATTTGTTGGCAGAGTCGTGTGCGAAACGCGTAGTGACCATAAGTACAACCTAGACGCCGTGGAGCAGCTCTTCCGAGCCCACCTCATGAATATGCAGACCTTTGACATGCAACTGGCCCAGGTGAGTCACATGATGGTCACGTGACGCTTTACCCAGTAAGAAGCTTCTGTGTTTTCAATGCTGAAGGCATTCAACCCCTCCAGTAAGACCAGTCTAGCTGTCAGCACCTGCACAGGGTTTGAAGAAAACGTAATTTAAGTGAAAACTAGTTGCAGTTCTTTAACCACTTCATTTTTCAAGGTTGATGATGCTGGGCCGGCATAATTATCATTTTTTCCGTTTTCAAAACTCTTCAAAAATTCATCATTTCATTAACGGACGTTTATAGCCGCATGAAGTTATCTTTAGGCACTACTCTAAGTTGACAGGTAACCTTCATTGACGCCCGAGTATTTCAACCAGGCCTGCAGCCTTGTAAAAAGAGCCCAGATTGTGCGGTGTTATGTAACGTTCTTTTGTTCACGAACCTGGCTCAGTGCACTGCCGACCTCTTTTCAATAGGGGCCAGATTAGTGTGCAGCGGTGCTGTGTGGCTGATTGCTGCGTTGGTAGAGCGCTTTTGTCCCCGGTGGTAATCCCCTTGCTATAAATGCCCCAAACCCTGGTATACAGTTTCAAAACAGGGCTGGATTATCACCACTTTTGAGAGTGAAAAATGTCGCTAATGCCCAGCAGCCTGGTCTTTTGTTCGGAGTACAGCCTTTTGTTACAGGGCCCTGTTTCCTTTGTCCGAGTTTGGAGACCCCTGCCACCCATATAAACCATACGTCTCCGATCCCGGAGTCCCCGGCAGGAAGTGGTTAAGGTGGTCTTACAGTATTCACAAGAAAGTTTGAGAGGTCATTTGTGAAGGGGATGGGCCAACACGCCAGGAAACATGTTAGCAGGTCACACTTATGTCATTCTCAGATGTTTAAGAATCAGAACGTTTAGCAAAACACATGATAGTGGGTAGAAAGCAGGTAGAAAAAAGAATAGAAATAGGAACTTAAAGAAAGTTTTTCTGCCTTGTTTGATATGATTCCAGTTGCTGCTGTTGCTGTCCCAGTGACATTACAAGATGCTTTGTCACTTTGCTCTATAGTGTCGAATTTGAAGTACTCAGAGCCAACAAGCATCTGCACTCTGGTTGCTGATATATCCATGCTGTTAACAATCATCGTGAGATTTGCGATTCATTTCATTGCAGTCAATGGAGAATGGCCTCAACTACACGGCAGTGGCCTTTGCCATGAATGTCGTCCGCCGCTACCTGATTGAAGAGAAACAGAGCAACATCTTGAATGAGGCTGACCTGTTCAACACCTTGCACATCCTGGCACGCATCGCTAACCAGACGCCTAACCCACCTGAAGGGTAAGGGACCAGAGGATTTTGTGACATGATCCTCCCTTCCCCCCAAGCAACCTGCTGATCTCCCTCAAGCAGACCGCCACCAGCTTGCACCATCCCGAAGCCCCCCTTTTTTTTCCCCTAAATGTACCTCACAACTAACCCGCACCCCTCATTTTTCCTCCACCGTCCCGTCCCAAAACTGTTTCCAAAGTGCAATTCCATGCCGATCTTGTAAACCCTAACCTCTACAGAGATCAGAACAACAACCTGCCCACCTTTGACGAGTCCTGTTTTTTTTCAATTCTACTCCGCCATTTCACCCCTCCCTACTCCCCCTCCCCGAAAAGCACAGGTCAAATTAAAAGTCCAGTTACGAATAATTGGGGGGAGGACTGTAAAAAGAGAAGCCCCTGGCACAGTTCAGTTTGTACTTGCCTTGAAAATTGATGGCTTGTAATTGACTTGCGAGGACTTACAACTAATTTGTGAGGACTGTGATTGTATTAGTTGGACGATTGATTGGCTTTAAAGTGTTGATCACTTGCTACAAACCCAACCTCACCTCTTACGATTTTAACCATGCCATATCATCATTTGAGCACCCTACTTTTCACCAGCAACCTTTGGTTTTGTACCACAAATTTTAAAAAAATATGGTTCGTTCTGTTACAAAGTCTGCAACACCTGATTGAGGTGGTCCGCCAGAACCACGACCCCGCCTTCTTGGACAAAGCCCCCGGGGGACCCACCTCTATGATGCACTCGGGCATCTCCCAGGCCAGGGAGTTTGACGACCCGCCAGGCCTGAGGGAGAAGACAGAATACCTCCTGAGGGAGTGGGTCAACATGTACCACTCGCCGGCCAGCGGCAAGGACAGCACCAAGGCCTTCTCGGCTTTTGTCAACCAGGTATGCCTCATCAAGCTGACTTTAAAAAGAAAACCTGCAACACCATCTCCACTGGAGTTTTTGTCTATCATACAATAAATCCTTGATCAACCCTGGGATAAACAAATCCTGGATGTGTCCAAGTTTAAGTTGGGCTCTAACAAAATCTGTCCGCACACAAAGATTTGCAGAGAAGTGGATTCGATTCTCCTATCCCTGCCCAGAATTTATTCCTTTACTGTTCATGCATTGAGTTTCTAACATTCAGCCTGACTGGCTGACTTACATGCCCAATCCTGTCATCCCACCAATCAGATGCACCAACAGGGCATCCTCAAGACAGACGACCTGATCACCCGCTTCTTCCGCATCTGCACGGAGCTGTGCGTGGACCTGTGCTACCGGGCTTTGGCTGAGCAGGCATTGACCCCAACCCTGACCAGAGCCAAGTGCTTCCACACCCTGGATGCCTTCGTCCGCCTGATAGCCCTCCTTGTCAAGCACTCTGGGGATGCCAGCAATGCCGTGACCAAGATCAACCTTCTTAACAAGGTAATAGATTAAAACAGCTTGGAAGAAAATCACCGTAAAATAGTTAATGGGATTCCAAGCAAGATATAGAGTTTTGCTAGTTTCTGAATCACATGTTCATCAAAAAGTCTATAAGGAGTGAATGTTTGAGATATTAATGCATGCAAATTTTATGCAGCTCCATGTGTCATCCAATCAAAGCTACTGGTCACAAACAAGACAAAGGCTGTTGATTGGTTGATTGCTGTCAGCTGATTATTTACATTATGGAGACACTCTGATTGGTCACAGAAGGTCAGAATGTTGTACTACGGTAGACAGTGGAGGTTTTGCTGTAGCATCCTTGACATTTTTTTTTGTTTTGAGTGATAAAGTAGGTGAAGTGCTCGGTGAACATTTTGATCGTAGATCGAGCAGTACCCACCTGTTCTCAGAATCTTGAGCATGCAAAACTAAACATATGACCGGTCAGTCTAAGTCTGGCACCTCATCTCCCCATGGCCATTTTGCAGGTTCTGGGCATCGTAGCCGGCGTCCTCCTTCAAGACCATGAGGTGCGTAATACGGAGTTCCAGCAGCTGCCCTACCATCGCATCTTCAACATGCTCCTCCTGGAACTCAACGCTCCCGAACAGATCCTGGAGGCCATCAACTACCAGATCATGACAGCCTTCTGGTAATTATAGTCTCAATGTAGAGGCTGCATCCGAGTTACTTGGCTATGGCTCTCATTAATACACACATCTATGAGAGGTTGCAGTAGCCACTCACTGTTAGATTCCATAGCTACATTATTGTCAGCCGTAGCCAGGAGTTTTGGACACAGGCTTAGGCTGTGTCTGAAATGTCCTGCAGGAACACTAATATCTGTGGAATATGGCCACAGCCACTAGCCAGTGGTGTCCATAGGTGAATGCGTTGTTACTGCTGTAGGCAAGAACTCGGACATGACCTTTTTAAAAAATTTTCACCAATGAACTGCAACCAAAGCATTCCTTTGTCTTTGTTCCTCCTGTTACTTGTGACAGGTGTTGTGAATGATCTTTTGCATGGTCTTGTGATGGTCTCGACTACCACACTGTTTTTGACCTCATTTTCAGTTAGTGACCTGACATTCTCGTCTTCAGTGGTTTTGGTATTCAACGTTTAAGAGCTATGAGTGCCAGTTACCCAAATGCTTATTTAAATTACTAGCCAGTTTTATATTCAGCAAGAGAATTCTAGTAATTCTATTTAGATTTTTTTTCTTTTTGTTTTTTTTTCCTCATAATCTTAAGCGTTTGCTGATGTCTCTAGATGTGATGAAACTTTCCAGTGATTCAAGTCTTCATGACTTGACACGCGATAGTTTTTATAAAAAGATTTAGTTTCTGATTCAGGGGCTCATAAACTTGCTAAGATTTCTAAAATTACAGCTGAAAGGCTCTTCAAACTGGTTGTTTGAAGAACGGTGAGTGGTGATCTTAGAATAATAAATCAGGAAAAATAGTGAGTTTGTTTATATTCAATCTAATTCGAGGTGTTGTATTGGGCTCTTAAAACTCCTGAATCCTTCAAAATCCATCCGACAGTTTGGGAGGATTTTCCTGGATTGAGGAAGGTAGGTTCCAAAAACTTTTAGGAGGGGTTGCATTCACCACAAAAACTTTATAAAAAAAAAAACCTTTCCATTCTTGAGCAGCGGTTGTTTGTTTTTGGAGGTTGTGGAAATGTTCCTAGCACCAGAATAAATATTGTCCAATTTGCCATCCTGTGTAGCAATGCCTTACACGTCTTGCGGCCTTCCAAAGCACCAGGCTTTGTCTACTCCTGGCTGGAGCTGATCTCTCATCGTATCTTCATTGCAAGGATGCTGGCCATGCTGCCCCAGCAGAAGGTAAACGCACCCTAGACCACCCGTGTTTTATGCTTAATACCTACCTGACATGGACATTTCTCTGTTTTCGTGTAGATAAGAACTCTTGGTAAAGACACTCTTGCACTTTCTTGTTTTCTTGCACTGTGAACACTTTTTTACTCTGGATTTTTCTTGGTGGTTTCCTTGACTGTTCTTCCTTTTAATTCAGAACACCCTAACCCCAAATGCCTCCAAAACTGTTTTCCAGAAAAGGGCTAACCTTGTGTGGACCTAGCTTATAGTTCATTGAAGGTTTTCACAACCTTCATTATGTGGACCTCTTGTTTATGGGTCCATACGAGGTATGTGAGGTTAACACACGGGCCCTCAGAACTTTATGAGTTGTTTCCTAACTCTACCAGGAACATCCTGATGGGCATACCACCCAATTGAAAGCACAGGCTTTGCCCATCCTGATGGGCATACCACCCAATTGAAAGCATAGGCTGTGCCCATCCTGATGGACATATCACCCAATTGAAAGCACAGGCTGTGCCCATTTGGGAATAGTATAGTAATTGTCCTGTTTATTTGCTGCTTGTGGAACAGACTGTTTCAGTCAGAACTACGCTGGGATCTGTTTGTGATCTTACAGAGTTTCACTGGATATTCCTTGTGGCCCCCTTAAAATGGCCGAAAACACTTGTGTTGTGACTTGTATGGAGCAACTGTCACTGAACAGTAGCTACGCATGTTAGTTATCACTNGTACTTGCCGCCATCTCCAAATGACCAGTGATAATGTTACCATGGTTACCCTATTTGTCTGCACTAATAAGTTCTCCCAGGCGGGGAACAAGAGCAAATTTACATTTTAGGAAAAATGGAGCTTGGTAATTCCAGAAATTAGGGGTCCATTTTTTTCGTGTCCTTGTCACCTCTGACTTAATGATTTGTTAGATCAGCGCACATTTTCTAATTTCCAAGAGTGATGAATTAATGCAAATTAACTGTCACGCAAATAGTAGTAGTCTGAAATCAATTCCGGTGATATTTCCATGTCAAGTAACAAAGGTCAGATGTAACAGGGACACAAAAATGTCACACCTTTGGACCCCTAATTTCTGGAATTACCCAGCCTGAAACACGCTGCAAGCATTTTGCATATTTTATTCATTTGGTTGCCATTCCAGCCCCGTTTTTGCTCAACAACTATTTTGTACTTGTAAGCAAATCGCTGAACTTACCAGTTCCACCAGGTTGGCTTTCAGTGATGGTGAAGGTGATTAGTCATAACGATGCATGTTCGTCTGTCTGTCTTTGCAGCAAGGGTGGCCCATGTACGCCCAGCTCCTGATCGACTTGTTCAAGTTCATGGCACCATTCCTACGCAGTGCTGAGCTGCCCAAGTACACAGCACTACTTTACAAGGTAACAGGTTGTTTTTTAAATTTGAAAGGTGTGAGAGTGTAGGAGCTACGTTTGCTGTTTGAGTTGTCACGAAGAATGTGGCTGAATCAAAAAAAGAAATGAAACAGATTGCCCCGACAGTTTGGACCGTTTTCCAAAAAGAACGGGCTTGCTGAGACAAACAAAAAGAAGTTCTTGTATTTTTGATGTTCTCATCACTTTGTCAAAATTCCTAATTATCAACCAAAGCCTTAATGAAAGTGTCTGAAAAATGCTTTCACCTGTAAGTTGCCTGCATAGATTATGGAGAACATGCCCTGCTTTGTAGTTTAAAACATCAGAAATCTTGACATCCTGATCAATGTGGACAGTGTGAAGGTGACAATGTATACATTTTCCTATTGTTTGTTGATTGTTTTAATACGAGCCTTGTGTTTTTACTCAAAGGTGCCTCGGTGACTTCCAAACTCATTTTTTGGAAAGCATCAGTACGAAATGAACACAAAGTTAGAACACAGGAATATTTTGGCCATGGTCGTTATTTTAGAACATTTAGATGGATGATTTGGAGTTTTGGAGAAACTGTCCTGTGTACGTCAGGGTTGACATTGTCACTGACTTGTTCTGCCCTCTCTTTCCAGGGCTGTTTGAGGGTTCTGCTGGTCCTCCTCCACGACTTCCCCGAGTTCCTCTGCGACTACCACTACGGCTTCTGCGACGTCATCCCACCCAACTGCATCCAGATGCGCAACCTGATCCTGAGTGCGTTCCCTCGCAACATGCGGCTGCCCGACCCCTTCACCCCCAACCTGAAGGTGGAGATGCTGACGGACATCACCCAGCCGCCCCGCATCATGACCAACTTTGCCGCCATGATACAGCCGGCTTCCTTCAAGAAGGTTCTTAATAAATTTTAATTTAGGCATATCTGATGATCCAACAACACATTTAGCGCCAATGACAGGATGATAATGAGTGAGGAAGACAAGTGAAGGGATGTTCAGTTTTAGAGATGGGAGGAACACCCCGGATAAATGTTTAGGGGAAAATCTAGAGACTCAGGTAGGGACTGAAAACTCGATCCACGTGTGGACCGAGTCGGAATCGAACCAAGACCGGAGAGGTAGAAGGCACAGAAAGAAACACTCATCAACCTTACAACGCTAACCTGAAACACCACGCTCCCATACGCAGCGTGTATGTGTGTAGAGAAATCACCATCCTTGTGTGTGCCCTCGGCACTGTCAACAGAATAGAATGTATTCTTGCGTCGGCCATCTTGAATTGAAAGTGAGGTTAACTTTTCATTTTTGTAACCTAAGAAAAAAATCACAGCAATAAAATTAAAGTTCATTACAAATTTATGCCAGTTTGTGTTCGGAATAAGTTCAAATTTGTCCTAAGTTATATTCAAACATTTTGAGCCTCACTAAAAATAAAAGTGAGGCTTGGAACCCAAAACAGTCTGGTACCACCTCATAACAGGTTACATTCAATATGATAGATTCAAGGAACAAGATAAAAATGGCTTCCCTGGGAGTAAGGTCTATTTGATATTATGTCACTGTGCCCGTTTTAAATTTGAGAGTATTTTGCAGTGAATTTACATTTGCTGACGTAAGGTTAGTGCTGGTATTAAATAACCAGCCACCCCGGATTCTATTGGACGACATCTTTTCATGTATTAATCTTCTGTATTCAAGAACACAGAATCCAAGAAAACCATGCATGCGACATGCTAACACAATTTTTCTCTTCCCCGAATCTACACGCTACCAGGACCTGGACTCGTACCTCAAGACCCGCAGCCCTGTAACGTTCCTCTCGGAGCTGCGCAGCCACCTGCAGGTGTCGCAGGAGCCTGGCCAGCGCTACAACACGGCGCTGATGAATGCCCTGGTGCTGTACGTGGGCTCGCAGGCCATCGCCTACATCCATAGCAAGAACAGTACCCCCTCCATGAGCACCATCCCCCACTCCTCCCACATGGACATCTTCCAGAACCTGGTGGTGGACTTAGACACGGAAGGTAAGCAAAGCAGACGTGATCAGTGTTGCATGCATTAGAAAGCAGAAACTGAACTCTTCGTTTTGATGTGGGACTCCGTTTAGCATCCTGATAGAGATGGACTCGTGGGTGAAACTTGTTGGTCGTTCCTTTTGACTTGCACTGTGCAAGATTCATTAAAGACCACTGACTCCAACATGGCTCTTCCGACTTGCAGTTCATTTTGTTGTCATCTCACAAATTTCAGTTTGAATCTCCCTTCTCACGTCTCTCCCTACGTGGAACCATGTCCCAGACCCCTTCATTCGCCTTATTTGCTGTGTCCTTTCTTTAATCCATGCTAGGGCTGTGCCGAGTATCCAAATATGTGATCGATTATCGAATATTATTTTCCAAATAAGAATATTCAAATGCAAGATTCATCAAAAGAAAGGGCGAGTTTTCTTTAGTGTTAAATGAGAAAATTGCACAATGAAGGCTTGTTTCAAGCAGATTCCAATGAAAAGTGACAGAAATCTTACAATGATTCAGAAGGTAAATTATTCATTAAAGTTATTAAAGGAATGAAAGGAGTTGAAATTTTCAACAGGACAAGAAGTATTGTTCATCTCTAAATCTTGCTAAATCGTGGCTGGAGATACTCCTAGACATGAGAAGCTATTATAGTGATTATAATGCACAATTGTGTGCATTATTACAATTGATTTGGTATATGGTTTGTTATCAACAGTCTGCCGGTCGGTATGACTGAATATTCAATTTGAAATGAAGGTCGAATATTCGAATAGTGAATTATTCAAATTGATTCAGCCCTAATCCATGTTGATGTGTTTCTTGCTTGTGTATAATGCTGTCGTCGTGTCACTCTCTTGAAGAAAGATATTTGCTCAGATTGAAACATCCACAACTTTCAGTTACTGAAAGTAACTCCTCAAAACTACTCTTTCAAATTTTGCAGCATTTTGATTGGTTAAGTGCTGCCCCTCTTGACCCAAGACTTGATCTCCTAATCTTCACTGCAAAGATTATGATATTGGTGTGCTGTATAATGTTTGAATTTATGACATATTTATGTTTTCACATCCTTGTTTGTTATGCATTTTTGTCCAGGGCGGTACCTTTTCCTGAATGCAATAGCCAACCAGCTGAGATATCCCAACAGCCACACCCACTACTTCAGTTGTACCCTCCTGTATCTCTTTGCCGAGGCCAACACAGAGGCTATGCAAGAGCAGATCACCAGGTACTAAACTTTGGAGCCGCCATCCTTGTAAAAATCAAATCACATTTTGCCCTTAACAGATCAAACACCTTGACCCCAGTGCTTTTCAGTACTTAAACTTCACAAACTTACTTTGGCTGGACTCGAACCCATGACTTCTTACTTATCAGTGTAGATGTGTAAAAACCACTCGACAATCTATTCAAATTAGCTAGCTGAAAAGTTTTTTCAAAGTATAGATTTTGTCGGGTTTTTTTTTTTTTTCAGTTTGTGGGTGACATTAAGGTTGCATGGCAGGGTGACATGATCTTTTTCAACACCATTTCATATCTAAAGGGGCACACACTGTGCATAACTGTACGACCTTGCCCAGCAGGTAGCTTTTGAGACCATGAGCACCTCCGTCTTGAAGATAACTCGATCGTTGTTCCATTCCCCCCCCCCACCCCTCACCCCTCCTCGTTTCTTTTCAAAGGGTGCTACTGGAGCGATTGATAGTGAATCGACCACACCCTTGGGGCCTTCTCATCACCTTCATCGATCTCATCAGGAATCCCAGCTTCAAGTTCTGGAATCATGAGTTTGTCCACTGCGCACCGGAGATCGAGAAGTAAGTAGGGGGACCGTCTAGCGGTCCTAGTCAGTCTACTCAGAAGACTGTCCATTCATTTATCTCATTTGTGCTAGTGGAACCAGGTGTCTGCTGTTGTTGGATATATTGCCCGATAAAGGTGGTAAATTTGTGAAACTTTTTAATGAGTTTGTCTCTTCTCAAGTCCAAATAAACAATTGTTTTCTTTTACCACATTTTGTTCCACAGATTGTTTGAGTCAGTCGCCAGGAGTTGCATGCAGCAGAAAAGCCAGGCCCCCGTCATGAATCGAGAGCAGGTGGAGGCCCACGAGTAGTCATCGCCCGCTCTCCCTCTCCGTCAACCTCCTGGGTCAGGACCACCCCGTCTTACACCAGGACAGAAGAACAGTGATGTGAAATATCTATGCAGCCATGTGTTCAGCCGCTGTGCAGCTGGGCACGTAGGCTGTATATGAATTATGTACAGATGTATTTAATTAGAGGTCTTTGCAATGTGTTGAAGCAGCTAACGGTGATGTGACTGATGGCTCCACGCCCAGAAGATCGAATTTGGATTACAAATTGTTTATGGATATTAGGGACCATCCGCTATTCTAAGATTGGTTTCTGAAAAGTTGAAGGAGAACACAATTTTTGATGTAGGCATCCATATCGGTTCCAGGCTTGTGTTCAAAGTAGTCAGGCACCAATTGTGTGACGTCACATTGCTATTAAAGCCAATATGGGGGAACTAGACACCTCGGTTCAAATGTTTCGAGGGGACGTCAAGAGATGGGCCCAATTCGTCTCTTGTCAAACAAGGGGCTGTTAGGAAAAATAGTTTCCAACAAACAACTTGCCGATCCTCTGGAAGGGGAGACTGAATCTCTTGGCATATCACTGACATTATAATTGTTACTCTCTTAGAATTACACTCTAAATCAAAAAAAGGGTCGTATATCAGAGAAAGTCCTTTTTGTACGACCAGTTTCTGGAGTATCCATAACAGCAAAGTTTGAATTTCTCTTATTGTTACTGATCCTCGTTTTTGGTTGAAGTGGTATTGCATCGGAACAAAGAGTGATTATATGCACAATGAACTACAAGAAAAGCACCCAATTGTTGCCTTACTGAACAGATATAACTAGTGAATAACTACAGCGTTCCATCAGAAGGGCTCATTCAATGAAGAACTTTTTTCAAAACTCAGCTTTTTGCCATTATCTTTTTCCCTTCCAGCTCACTTAGAACTCCAAGGAAGGGAAGCCTGCAGTTTCCTAAAAGCCACAAGGGTATTATATAGGTCTGTAGGACCTTTTGTTCTTTTTGCGGCTAGGAAGCCCCTTCAACATTTTTTGGTCGGTTCTAATTCTCGTACAATTCAATAGAATGAGAGTGGCCACATCCTTCCCCTTTTAAGGGGGCGATATTGCAGGGTGTCTGTAATGTGAAGTTGGAAACCACGAAGGTATGGAGGGCTTAAACTTCTAGCTCTTTCAATTTTGACGTTGGCATCAGAATTGCTCTTTTTTCAAGAACTGATTTTATGAGTTTTTACTTTGAGTGCCAGAGTATAAATCGTCCATATTGGACCAGCCGCATTGCACAGTAATGCAAGCAGTATCTGAGCGATTACCCTCCTGAATTTCAACAGAACCACTTCTTCCCCCAAGGAGGTTTCCCAAAATTTATGTAGTGGCAAGATTTTCCTTGATTTCAGTCAGTGCATTGCATTGCAACTCTTATGGAATGGTTTGGGGTTTTTTTTTCCGGTGACTGTCAGAGTAGAAGCGTCGAAGAGAGAACATTTTGAATTTCTTGCACATGATTAGTCATTTTCTTAAAGTTATACTCCTCAGTCTTGTAGCCTTAACACAAAGCACGTGGAAAGGAACCACTGAAGATGGAAGATCTCGTTTCAAATTTGAACTTCAGAAGAAATGTGTGTACCCTCATGTATCGACGCAAGAAACGTCAGTGGTCATAATTTTCTGTTGGGCCTTCAAGATGGAAGGCTCAGAGTATTGTGTGCCTTGTTCATTGCACACCAACAAGGCGGTGTTAAGTATCAAAGGATTATGGGATACCAGTGTATCTCCGAAGTCGGTCATTTTTGGTATTGATGAAAATCATAAACTTTTGTCTCAAAGATCGCTAGCCACGTAATGGCCTATTGGTGAATCGGGCCTTTGATTCCATTTTGATAACCAACTTGTTCGTGAGTCCTGTATATTTAAGACCTTGAACGTATATAATTGTCTGCTTCATATTTGACAAATAAAAACAGCTTTACTGATTCAGCTCTTGGTTCCATAGTGTTTGTTTTGTGATGTTTACATTCAATCTAAAAATATGAAGTTCGGCCGTTCTTCAAACAGTTTAAAGGAGATGTGTAGACCTGTGTCTTTGCCTGTTTGGCGTTGGCTTCCTTACGGCAGTGGGTCCAAGGCGTTTGCGGTTGAGTTTCTTTTCCCAGTCTGAAAAACAGATCTTGCTTTCGTCACTGAAGGTCAACAATATAAAAGGAAATCTCTAGGAGGAAAAAAGTATTATGTGACACTTGCAAGTAATGCTCAAGCTCCGCCCACCAAACGAGATTGAACGGTATTGGAACTACGTGTACGCCTGATATCAAGAGGAAACCTTGTCTACTTTGGGAGCACAGCATCGTAGACAATGTACATAATCATGCAGGGACAGTTGCAATCAATACACACACTGCAATCTTCATGCCATCAAAGCTCAGGTAGCTCTCAATGTCGCTGAAAAAAGGCCGTGACAAATGCCCCAGTGTACAGTGTATATGTTTTTGAAGCCGTAACCTAAATTTGATTTTCAGTTGATTTTTTACCACCAAAAATGAGTTCGTAGCTCAGTCAACATCACTTTAGTCCCCCTGTGTAGTGTTTAATGTGGCAAATGTTTGCATTTGATTGAGTTAAATACATAACAAGATTTAAACATTCGTTTGCTGCTTATGGTACCAAAAAGCGTATAGCGCCCCCTAGCGGCACTAGTTGATGGTACTGTTTTCTCCCCCCCCCCAATTAAACACGCGTTTATTCTTTTAATCCGGGATTTGTAGGACAACAAATTGTCATTGGGAGTCCACTTCCGCCATCATGACCAATTGCTAAAACGTGGAATCTTAGTAACAGTTGTGAAAGCTAAAACTGAGCTGGGGAATGGAAGCCGCGTCCAAGGCCTGTGCCCCCCCCCCGGCTCGGAAATTAGAAAAACAATCTGGTAATAGTTTGCCTCGGTCAGTGTTTTACCTTTCACTCTACAAGAACAAGGTAGTTTGGATCGAACCTAACCCCTCCCCCCCAAAAAAGGGGGGCCCTAAAGTGCTGCCTACTGTACAAAACTGTTCCTCAACTTTGCCAATGCTTAAGTACAGTCCGACGAGTGCTATGAGACATTTTATCCCTTCGACAGACTGATTGCATTATTTGTGTCATGACCTCATAAGCCCCAGGCCATATAGACATGTACATATAGACAGGGCGAATGATACAACCTCGTGAGCCCGTTATAATGAGCAGTCATTGTTCGTCAATCCTCCTTGCCTCAGCGTGACTAAAGATGCACGAGAAGGACTCGCCTTTGAAACCACCGGCCATTGAAATGTCTTTAAAAGCTATGCGCGGCCAGGAGCCAAAGCCGAACAAAGACGAAGACTATTGATTTTTCTCACGACAGTTAATGCCCGAAAGAACGTTTTATCATGCCTGTGCAGCTTGTGACACACTACCTATAGCAGACAGGTGCGCGGACGGTGAAACAAGGCAAACAGTTGAACATCATCAAGGTAAAGGAATGATTCTCGGCAGTTTCTTCTTGGCTGGTGCTGGAGGACGGACTTTCTCTGGTCTATTGCATTTTCGTTGACTGGATTATTCCCACAGTACACTGTAGAACGTCATTCTTTGAAGTACAAGAGGTGAGTCTTTCAGTTGATAGGTTTCACAGCCGTACCGTACCGTAAATAAACTGTCGTAGACGACAATGATAAATACTCTCACACACTGAAAACACAAATCGATGAAAATATGAACCACTCAGACTCAAAGATCGTGAGACACAAGTTTTTGGATACTGTTTTTTGCTTTTCGATAGTCTTTTTGGGTAATATGGAGATTTCAACTTTCTCTGCAGATGATAATCTCCCCTTATCAAAGTCGAACACCTTCGCCATTATCAAAAGAAAAATCGCTCCACTTATTGCAAAAAAAGCTGAAGTCTGATGTATCCAGATTTCCCAGAAATACAAACTTACAGTCCTGTCTAGAGGAGGGACCAATTAAACCATCTGCAAGAGCCAATGACCCATAGCTCTTCTTCATATCCCCTCAAGTTTCCGGTAACCAGACTCTAGATTGCTAGAAATAGGCTATTGACTTTCATTGTTGGAGGGGCGTACCTTTAGTGCACTTAGCTTGCGCCTGGGCGAGAGAAATTTAAAATGGTCCTTTTCCAGTATCACTCAGAGGTTATGACGTAAAAATCACCCTGAAAATCAAACGAAAACTGTTAACTTGCTGTGACGGTAAGATCTTGTTGATATTGCTGTGTGTGTGATATTGCGCTAGTGTGATGTTTAGATATCATTTTAGACAGTTGCTATTTCGCGTGTGTGCCCGTCGTAAAGTGATCATGCACCCTGTTAACAATGGTCGCGGTGTGCATGGGAAAATGGGTACATGTATACACGAGACGCACCTTAATCATTGGGCAGGGAAGACAACGCACGGGGTGATTGATTGAAGTACATGTGCACGTATTAGCATAATAAAGGTCTGTATACGCTCAATCATATCCAGCCAGAATGAACATTCGCCAAACCCTTTTATGAAATAAACACTATGCCAAATCCTGTGTATTTCTTGCACATGTATATCGCTACAAAATATGAGACGTCGAAACTTTTGAATTTTTTTTTTGCTCCAGTTCTATTAAATAAAGCTTGAAGAAATTTAAGCAGAAATGTAACGAACTAAATGTAGTCAATTACCGTATTCCGAGATCCATGTTCCAGCTCTAGTTTGCTTAATGAAAATAACAAACATACAAATTAACAGCAAGGTGGGAACCTCAGAGTATCTCAAAACTAATAACATATGTAAAAAGTATAAACGTTCTATGAGATAAAATTATGTGAATTTTCTCTCAGCATTTGATTTATTTCATTATTTAAATATCAATTCCTTATCGTTTGAAGAACGTCCTGAAAGAAACATCTAGTTATTTTAATTTTTTTATGATAATCTCACAAAATATTTCCTCCACTAGCTCATGTATGAAATTGTAAAAAAAACACACACACATCTTTGCTTCATCCAAACAGAATTTTCCCGATGCATTTCTGTGGCCAAGGAATCATGTGCACCAAATTCAAAGTTTTCCTACTGACGATGGTGTTCAGCGTCAGCAGCACGCTCTTCTTTGTGTACATCTTCGAGAGGAGTGACCGGGCCCCGTACTCCCTTCACGACCTGCTGAAGAAATCGCAGAGGTCGATGACCGGGCGTTTCCAACTGGCTGCCAAGGGAACAGTAGATGCGGCAGCGATGCACAGGTTAATATCGTCTTTCTATTCAAATGCAGACCAGAATCGCACTGAAGTTGTTAATTCGTCCGCCTCATCAAAAGGAGGAGGCAAGAAAAAATTACAAGCTGGAAATTGGAAAGTGACCGACAGCAGTGGTTCGAAATCGGTAAATGAATCAATTCAGGAGGATGTCGGGCCTCCATCTTCTCAAGAACGAATAAACAAAAGTGGGGCCGACACAGAAATGAAATTCGATCTAGGGAAATCTAAAGAGTCGTCTGTACCAGGTAAAGAAGTTGACAGTGGGAGAGTTGAAGGGACAACAGACTTGAAACAGCTCACAAAAGATAGTAACCAAACCAACAAGGCCACATCTTCACCAGACAGTAAACTACCTCTCGGAAATAAATCATGGACGGGAGGAAACCAGAAGCTGAAGGCGAGTAACAAACCAGACTCAAAGACGCCCGAATTGCAGATACATCGAGATGGAGATAAGAATGGCTCAGAGGGCAAACTAGTGTTGAACAAGTCCGTGGCTTCTTCGATGAAATGGGAAAAGAACAACACCGCTGGTGTTCATCTGACTCACCATTCTACCAACGGGATTGTCAACGGCCAAATCAGGCCAGCTCAGGGCAAAAACGCTGGCAGTGGGAAATGGGCCGGGGAAAAGAAACAAGATGGTGGCTTCAAAAAAGAGACCCCAAAAGAGGTGCTTTCCTCTGACAAAACGAATCCACTGAAAACCCGGAAAGATGCTTCCAAGGTGGTGGACTTTCAAAGGAGATGGGATGCAAATAAGGGCGACGGAAGAAAACCTAAGACAGCGCAGAAGACTAACCAAAAGCCTCTTTGGGCGAATGGTAAGGAGACTAACAACGCTGCACAGTTTTCGGGTGTCAAGAAGGCGCCTGAAGATAAATGGAAGAAAGAACACAATATGAACGTAGAGGCAAAGAATAGAGGCGACCCCATCAAAGTTGCACCAGTCCCTCAACAGGGGAAAAAAAGCAACGACAACAGCGGCAAACCAACGATAGATCAGAAACAGGTAACGCAAAATCATTGGAAACCACCCCCCATGCAAGAATGGAAGAAGCCTGGTCCTGCCAAATTATCGGGGCAGCTTCCGAAGACGGTAAAGGGTAATGAAAACCAGAGGGCTAAACCTGCACCTCCGCTGAAACAAGGGGCTAAAGCTGGTATAGATACATCTGTTGCCAGAAACGAGAGGGACAAACAGGTGCGTGGCAACTGGAATAAAGCGGGAGATAAAAATGCAGTTCAAGATAGGAAATTGAAACAAGAGGCTCCAAAATCATCGGGATACGTGAATGGAAGTGAAAATTCCTCGCCTCCAAAAATTTCTAACAGTGGAAATAAAGTTCCTGGCAGTGGACCTCTGTTGGCTGTTGGAGGGAACACAAAATTAGTTTCGAAGAATGATCCAGTCAATGGAGCTGGTAACCCAATGATGACACATGACTTCGGTCTCGTTTTGAATGAACCTTTAGCCTGCAAGAAAGCTGACGGCAGCAACAAAGCCGTATTCTTATTGGTTCTGGTCGTCACGACACACGGGAATAGCGACGCTCGGCAGACCATCCGAGAAACCTGGGCCAGCCCAGGGGATGTGATGGGAAAGGCGATCGTCACCTTGTTCATGCTGGGCCAAAGCATAAATAGGACTCTCAATGAGCTCCTCAAAAGTGAGAGCGACAAATATCACGACATTCTTGTGGAGGACTTTATAGACAGTTACAGAAATCTCACCCTAAAGACAATGATGGGCCTGAAGTGGATGGGAGAATACTGCCCTCAAGCGTCGTATGTCATGAAAACAGACGACGACATGTACATTAATCGGGAGAACCTGTTGAGTCTCCTAACGAGTCCAGCGACCCCTACAAAACGGTTCGTGACTGGGCACGTCTTTGGGGGAATGCCACCGATCCGGATCAGCACGCAGAAGAACTACATGCCGGTGGAAATTTACGGGGAGCCAAAATACCCTCCCTACTGCGCAGGCGCAGCCTACGTCATGTCAGGTGACGTCCCCACCCTGGTGTTCAACGTGGCTACCCTCATTCCAAAATATGTTCACATCGAAGACGTGCTGGTTGGGATTTGTTTGAGAAAGCTCGGCATCAAACCGATTCAAAACAATGGGTTCCGGCACAACGCAATGCCTTTCGTCCCGTACTCCTTTTGCAATTACCAAAACGTTATCACTATGCATGGAGCAACAATACAAAACATGCTTTCCATTTGGAATGGCCAAAAGGCCGATCGTCAAAGTAAACAAAATAAGCAATGCTGAATGTATTGAACTAAGTAGCCACCAGAACCCACACTAAGCAAGAAAAAGCACGCTGTAGTCTCTGCGCCGATTATGAGACCCGGCCAGCGGCCGACACTGACACGTATGATTAATGATCAACATTCAAAAGATGCGTTCAAAATGTTGTGATATAATTTAATCGAAATCTGCCATCTTTAAAGTCGATTAACAGCAAACAACTTGGTAAAACAAACCTAACCTGCCATGGGTATTTGTGATGTACAATACCTCACTTTGTACGGTTATATCAAAGCAAGTGGAATTGTATTGTGTGATACCTTCGTTGTTCAGAATGCAGCTTAAAAAAATGAAAACCTCTTGGGGACCGAAGACTCCAAGCGTCCCATCCCCTTTCCGTAGCAGATGACGTCCACAGTCGAGACTCTACTGGCACGCTACACATGGTGGACAGCGTTTTGTAATTTAATTTGTAAATAATTTATCATTAACTTGTGATAAGACCTCTTGAAAGGTGGTCAGAACAGAAGGAAAGAAATACGTGTACCTCTGATTTGGTAAAGAACTTGCACAAAGTATAACTGCACATCGACATTACTAACTAAATGACGGACTATTTCCCGCCAACGACATGCATGGTTATATTATTATTGTTGGAATTGCGTCTTGAAAACTGTAGCTAGACTCTTTGGGTCGAAGTAGGCATAAACCGTTCATCTACAACTGTGACTACATAACTTGTTGGATTTGGCATGGTTAGAGTTTAATGGGATTTCTCTTGGGAACGAATAATGAGGAAAATGCCCTAAGTGTGTGATATGCAAACGAGACGGTAAGAAAACCTTCCTCCAGTCGGCCCCCCCCCCGTTAAAAACTTCTGGAAGGCTTCGACACTAGCACAGGTCAGCGCGTAGCGCTCATTTCAGCCTGCGTCCGGCCTAGGAATTATACTACAACCACACAGACGCTTTTGATATTGCAATGATTGAAAACAAGTATCTATTTTTTTTACCCCTTTTGAACATCAAGATCACAGCAAAGTTGACTTTCTTTTTTTTTAAGTAGAAAAAGAAACATCTAGAACCGCGCTCTTGGCGATACTTCAAACTTTCCATTTCAAAGTTCAAGTGGTTTGTTCAAAGAACCGTTGTTAAACAATAAGTTCATCAGAAACCAAGGCAAACGTGAAAGCCAAAGATACAATCAAGCAGTAATCACACAATACAGAAACCGTTTTTTTTCCTCCAGAAAAAGTCCAAGGCTATCTTTTGTCTGTCCGACAAAACATAACCTCGCAACAAAAGGTCCAACGGGGCGAGAACGATTCATCCCGCGCAACGGGCGCTCTCATCACACAAAACATGAGAACGCTTGTAGGTCAATGGTTGTGTCAATGTCGCGTTTCAAGGCACCCAAAGATGACGTAAGTCACGTACACTCCTGTGCGTGGGATCTTTCTGGTATTTTTCTTGCTAGCAAGACACGTAGCGTTAATTTAAGCATTGCCACTCGCAAAGAATCCTCGAAAGTATACCCTCGAACTGTATTTAAAGGAAACTGTTTGGTCTCGTTCCATTGCGTATTATGACCCAGAGAAATGTGGTTATACCGTAAGTCGAAGCACATGAGTTAAGCAGTTCGCAGGCCTTATGTGCCCCATTTGAATTCATATAGACCGCCATTTCAGGTACAAGTGATAAAAAGCTGTCAGTTGCTGTAGAAGTCTGCAAATCATGTCTTCACGTGTGGGAAGTCCGTCGCACACTGACGCGTTCAAGGAGCAAGTTCGGCGTCACTGTGAGCAAAAGCTGGCGGAGAACTTTCAAACCACTGCCGCGCATTCGAGTCGTCTCCACTCAGTGCCCGGCCCACGATTTCATCTGCATGAGCAACGCAGGTCCAGCGATGGCCAGCTACCACCAATGTTTACCAACAAGGGTGCTTCGGCTAGGCCCCCGCCGTCGCCAAAGATGGTCGCTCCTCAGTCCCCGCGTGTCAAGACCAAAAGCGGCAACTTACTAAGCGGCGAGATACGGCGGTCTAGTGACGGTCAGCTGCAGCCGATTTTTCTGGGTAAAGATGGTCCAACGTTCACTGGACCTCCCCCAAATATGATACCCCATCACCTCCAGTCACGCCCTAAATTTAATACCGAATTACGACGATCAAGTGACGGACAACTGCAACCGATATTTCAGAGCAAGGATTCGTTTGTTGGACCCCCGCCCCTCATGATTCCCAAGCACATCCAACAAGAAAGCGGCATCACTGAGGTGCAGGTGAGCCCCACGCAATTCAAGGTGGACTTGGATGTGACCGGGTACGCGCCGGAGGAGCTGGCCGTCAAGATAGTCGGCGACCACATCGTCATCAGGGGCAAACACGCAGAGGAGAGCCCCGGGGAAGAGACCAAAATCACCCGGGAGTTCAGCCGCCGATACACGCTGCCTGAGGACGTCCTGGTAGAAGATGTCTCGGTGTTTCTGGCCAAAAGTGGGAAGCTGAGTGTCAAGGTACCGCGTATTGTTGAGATCAAAGCAAAACGCCCGGTGCAGAGGAAAGTGAAATTCCAAGAATGACACTGGTTGGCCGGAGTAAAGATGTCGGTCTGCATCTGATGCGGCAGGCCATCATGTGAAGTACTCACATGTTGACGTTTGACAAGGCATTTGTCATCCCCGTTACTGTTAATGTGATGTTTAGTGTACAAGGGATACAAGACTTTTAGAAAAAAAAATATATTGGACATCTGTATAATTTTACATCAATAAGTTGGGCATTCCTTTAAACTCGTCAACGCAGTCGTAAACTAGAATGGGTCTTTGCAACCCTACAGTACTTTTTCAGACGTTGTAATTGCCCAGGGAAATTCCTCCGTGGAATATTTCGTGTAAAAAATGGGAAAAAAAATTGGAAACATAGTTATTTATTTAGGACGTATGAGGATCATACAAGTAGTCTGATCTATTGAGAACTGCGCAAGGATGTTTGGACCAATAACCATGACTGTGTAGCCGCACCGACAGAAGCCAAAGGTCGTGTCCGATTAAAGTGACCAGGGGCGAGATTGACCAATGATAAAAATAGCTGAAAACAGCTGAAAAAGGGCATAAAGAAGCTGAACTGTGAAAATCTCCTGTACTTTTTTACACAACCAGTGCGGAAAAAAACTGAAATCCAAAACAGAAAAAGCTGAAATCAGCTAAAAAGCTGAGCAATCTCACCCCTGAGAGACTGCGACTGAAGCAACACGCATCAAATATGAAGAAGTCACAGCCGCTAGTCATTGGCTTCAATAGGCGCGTGGTTATTTCAAGCTGTAGAAACAAGTCTCAGCCTCGGTCCATGCATGCGGCTTTTAAGTAAATGTGCGGTTTGCAACTGTCCCATCATGGAAAGAACAGTAACACCTATGTCTCAATGGACAGCAAAACAGGGTAAAGTTAGAAAAAGTTACCAGTACACAACTATTAATTGTAGAGCGCTGGATAGAGAGGGCTCCAAGCCCCTTTCCAGGGGTACGAAATGAAGTCATGACTGACCCCAAAAAACAAATCTAGGTACATCAGTATGAGGGTAAATAAGCCAGTTTATTATTCAAATTCTCATCCAATGTTTACATTAAGTTGTAGGGAAAAGCAATAAAACAGTTTAATCTACTCTCATCCAATTGGTTGCTACAAGGACAAATTAAATCCAGAGACAGTCAACACATTTTATTTACGAGTCATTTGGAGTTTTCACGACTGGCACACAGAACAACAATTGCACTTCGAGGCTGATGAGATAATGTTCCTCTTGATTGGTAACTTGTAGGGTCTTAACTGAAGTACTGACAACTACAGCAACCGCAGGCAGGGATGTCACGGACGAGTTTTATGTTTTTCAATAAATACAGTACAGTAGCCCAATTCTTGCACAACTGCTGTGTACAGACCTTCATGTAAGCCCACATCTGCACTGGCAACTTAGATTTCACCTTGTCAGGCGTTGGAGTTTTACCAAGCACGGCATCAGACATTCGCACTTGAAAAATTGGAATGGAAAGAGTTGAACGGTTTAGGGAAGTGATACGCAACGGGCCCATTTGCCTTAAGATGGCGTACCTCACAGCATGCACATCAAACCAGAGTATGCCATCATGTTTAGCACACATCTGCATGACTCCAGTGACGGCGAACTGACATAGCTGGTATGTCACCCAAAAAAAGTCTTTGTACCCACGGTTGGCAAATTAGTGTATGCCACATCAGAGTCACGAACCCTGTGTGTGGCTATGGCTCGGATTCTGCCATAGACACACTGTGCTGAAGTGCTGTAGCCAGAGGCCACTGGCCTTAATCATGTCTCAGCTATCTCGCATCAAAAGTGAGGCGATCCCCGTAGAAGTTTGTAAAACCTTAATGCATGTGGAAAGGAAGGTGATGGCATTTGGGCAAAGTTACAGATTACAATCTTTGTGCACCAATGGGTAGTTTCATTTTATGGATAAAAGTCATGTTACCTTTATTGTCCGAGTGAAACTGTTTGTTTATGCCTGTACATGTAATGCTGGCAAACTGGTCACAAACAGAAAGTTAAATAAATAAAACAGTTTCAGGGAAGGATGATTCAAATGACCATTTCATGAAATATATCCAATTCAGATGTGGCCTCAAAAAGGAAACTATGCATAGCTATGCCCAAGTCTAGTACGCTCCTCAATGTCACAAGGAAAACACAAAACTGTCCTGAAAAGCAACTACTAAAAAAATTTAAAATCTGTTTAGCCAATCAGAGTGCTGGGTGGTCCCAACTCCCACTGGCCAAGCCAATAAGATATCCAGAATCCCTGCTACAGGTGTTGGTAACATCTAATATGAGTTGGCTCAGAAGTACTTGCAAAAATGGAAGTAACAGCTTCCTGAATTGTTTAACAAAGCTAAAAGGTGTCGGCTTACTTCACATAGGCAGGTAGACACAGATGTGGACCACATTAACATGCAGTACACCTTTTAGATAAAACCTTGTATGTAATACTGTGTGTTGGCGTATTAAATACACTTAACTACGACATTACCTAAGACAGCACTATACTTTCTCGTACAGCTTCAGCAAGTGCAGCCCGATATAAACAATGAAAAAAAAACCCTGTCCTCTTTCCCCTTTTTCTTGTTTCTTAAAGGCCAAAAAGAGGGTGGACTAGCAGAACATTTCAAGCACAAACTGCATGCTCCCTGCCTCGCGTGGACTCACTACAAAACAGCTGAAACTGAAATAATAGGATTTTTTGGACAACAGATGTGTCTGTGGCAGGAAACACACAGCGACCGTACGTACCAGGAAGAAAGCACCCGCACCTCTTGTACAGACTGACAGGGTTTACACATGATTCTGAATGGTGCAGGGACAACGCCGGGCCCTTTGTGTTCAAATTTCCCCTCTCCTAGTTTCTTCGTACCACAACAGAGACATTAGAAAAAGTTTGATTGACAACACCAGGCACACAATAAAAATATAATAACCAGCTAGCATGATGACATCAACGTCAGGAGGTCAATATGACATTCATTTGAAGGGTCAATCAATTTGACAGACAATTCTGATTTGACGCCTTAACTTCTCCCATCCGCAAGAAAGCTTTTTGGCATGGTTAGAAAAATCCGGCCCACAAAGCTAAGTCTTGGATGGAAAGAGTGCACAACAAACCTAACTTCCCTTTCACTTTTGGGAAGAAGCAATAAAGCGAAAATAAAAACTAACTGACTTGGCAATTTCGACATTCATTTAAAATGGGCAGCTGAGGGGGGGAAACCAGAAGGCGACGACTTCACGTGCAGGAAATTCAAAATTTGATGCACATGACCTAGAAAAAGCTGTACTCTCAACTGCCCCAATTAAAAAAAAAACAAGTCTACAGATTAAACACACGTGCAGGAGTAAACTTTCCAAGTTTAGCGTGAATTCGTCAATGTACATTTCACAAAGTGGCCCCCAAAGGAAATACATACATTATTTAAATAAGACCAGAGGGCCACCTCGCAATAATGCTAAAAATCCTACCTGTGAATTTCATTCAACTTAAGTTGTCATTCACCACAGAGGGAAACGATTACACAAAGGTGGCAGCCATCTTTGTCCCTGGCCTTTGTGTCTTTTTTCCCAAGTACATTCATAAAAACCTCTACAAAGCCGAAAAAAGCAGAATTTGATTCATTATCGGTGGCTAGGTGGTTTTAAAACGCTCTTAAAGTAGTCAATGCGTATACATCAAAACTCTCTACAATGTGTTTGTACAAATAACAATGGCCATCTATGTCTGAATGTGTGGTACGTCTCTGCAGAAAATATAGAAATCTTGCCTCTCGTTAAAATACAAAATCGGGACCGGCCATGTCGATGGCCCATCGGAACTTGTCACGCTGTGTGCGATTGTAGATCTTTTCAATGGGTACATTCCACTTCTTTGTCCTGGAGAAAAGAAAATCGACAAAACTGATAATGATGGGGCACACTGCTGTAACTGGGCTGGTCTTTGTTATACAGGGTTTAACCCTCCTTGGGTTTTACAGCACAAATGTGCACATATGCCCACAGTCACTGGTGAGCATGTAGTTTCTATATGGAACTCAAACATGCATAGG